TAAATACAGTCCTGAAAAAAAAATCATTCAAAGTTTCCACAAAAATATCAAATTTGAATGATTTCTGAAGGATCATGTGGCACTGAAGACTGGAGTAATGATGCAGAAAATTCAGCTTTAATCACAGGAATAAATTACCATTTAAAATATATTAAAAATGTAATAATATTTCACAATATTACAGTTTTTACTGTATTTTTGATCAAATAAATGCATCCTTTGTAAGCATAAGGCACTTGAAAACATGAATTTTTTTATACACACTCTTAAAAATAAAGGTGCTTCAAGCGATGCCATAGAAGAACCATTTTTGGTTCCACAAAGAACCATTCAGACAAAGGTTCTTTAAAGAACCATCTCTTTCTTACCTTTTTGTAATCTGAAGAACCTTCTTTCGCCCCAAAGAACCTTTTGTGAAACAGAAAGGTTCTTCAGATGTTAAAGGTTCTTTATGGAACCATTTAGACAAAAAGGTTCTTCTATGGCATCGTGAAGAACCTTTATTTTTAAGAGTGCAGACCCTAAACTTTATTTAAATTTCTTGTTGTTTTTAAACACAATTATGTTCTCAAAGCTCATAATATCTTACATGTGCAGACCTGACCAACTCTTACTGACTCAGCTATTAAAAAACAATATCATCAAGCAATAATTTCGAAGGTCTGCCTTAATTTGAAACACCAATTTATTCGTTACACCGCAAGCATTTGTAGCAACATGCTGCACGCTGACTAAAACTGACAGTGTGCGAGGAGCTGCAGTCCCTTCTCCTTAAAAATGCACACACAGTAGTTTTTACAAGATGACTCCGCTGATGAAGGACTCTGGGCCGTCCGACCCAAATCACTGCACACTGATATTAAGGATTTGGCGTATGAACTAATTAGAGCACCATTAGCACCCGCCCTTCCCTTTGTCTCTTAATACATTACTTGTGCAGCAAAAGCTGGAGGGCGAAAAAAAGAGAAATAAACATAAGAAAGAAGAAAAACATGCATTAATCATCTACTCTGAAATCCAGGTTGGTCTACGGAAACATGCAAATTTAGAATATTGTTTTTCTGTGAGTGTTAGGTAATGCTTTGCGGTCTGATAGCTATGATGAAAGTGTCCTTCTGTTAAGCACATATGTTTAAACCTTGCTCAGTATAAAGAAATGATTGCAAAAAAGTAATTATGGTCTGGAATTGAAATGTTAAAGAGGTGCTGCAGTGAGAAACTGAACTAAAGTGCTAATTTCAGACCCCATTAAACCCAGTTTTGTGAGTTTTCTTCCAGGAAAATGCCATCTTGTTCTTTGACACGGATGGTCAAGAGTTGCACAATATGGTTATCGTCCATATCCAGGATTTTGATTTATTCAGAGTTATTTTAGTATCATTGAGATTCTTTATATTATATTTTATATTTATTCTTTATATATTTTTTTAATTTTACATTCAAAATCATAAAATTAAACTTTCAGTTAAAGTTTTAATAATTTACTTGTGTTTTTTATTTGTATTTTTTAAATGTACTCAGAGTTGTTTTAGTATTCACTGAGATTATATTTATTTTTTAACATTGTGAATTTTACATTTTAAATGTAATTTTAGTTAAAGTTTTAATAATTTTCTTGTGTGTTTTATTCATTTCTATTTCAGTTTTACTTTTAGTTCTTTTTGTACCTCGATTTAAACTAAATGAAAATGAGGAACGGCACTTTGGCATCTAATATTTTAATATTTTAATTGTTTTTAAACACAATTATGTTCTCAAAACTCATAATTTGGCATCTAGCTGATATATAAGAAGTTTATTTCTGTTTTATTTTACTTCAGTTAACATTTATTTTATACCAAAAAACATTTTTTTTTAATGGTTTTAGTTTTAGTTTATAATAAGCCTGTAATGAATACAGTCGATATTGGACATTTACTTTTGCATGCTCATTTATGCTGTTTTTACAATTAGATTGCCTTTGTCTTCATCCAAATCATTTTTAGACTAATAATTTAATAACACTGTTATATTTAATATTTTGCCAAATTCAAAATGAATGTCCATACTGTACATTATAATGCTGTATTGCCTAAATTCACATCTCAAATAACTACATTTAGTTTTACATATTTTATTTTTTTATTTATTTTATTAGGACAAACTAATTTTATGTAATAATTTAATCTGCCTATACCACCTAGGACATCCTTTTGTATTGCATTTCTTTGACTTATGACTTATGACAACCATGCTGGTGTAAAAGAAAGCACAATTTACCCACAAGGAACTTTATTTATTAAAGTAAAGGACATAGTGTCATTTAAGGTGCTTTAAATTAATATTAGGATGCGGCGGTTGCACTTCATGTGTTGGTCTATCACACAAGAGTCTGCATGCACAGTTTAAAGCCTCACTGCTTTGTGTTTCATGTAATTGTACATGCTGAACGCTGTTCTGTTTTTGGCCCAGCGCACACACTGTAAATAGCACTGGGAGCTTGTGTGGTGTAAGCCAGCCGCTTTGTTTTGCCAGGGTTTTGATAAAGAGTCTCTCAGCACTGATCAGAGGAAGCTTTGTTGACGAGTCTTTGTCGATTTATAAGCACACATGACATGAATCTTTATGAACACCACACTCCTTTCCAAAAAAAAAGGACGGGCACATACTAGGGGCACCTTCAACACACCATAACAGTCAAAAAGCCAGCATATCCAAAGACCATCACACATATACAAGCCCAAAGCATCATCTCTGCTTTTGACCTATTTGTTTTGCACGCAACGGAGAACAACATTGCAGCTTCTTACATAAGAGTATAATTATAGTCACTGTTGGTGGTTTGCGATTGGTGCACATGCTAAAATAAGGAAAATTGGAGCTGTTACATACTTGGGTGTTGTTTACTTCCTGACGAACCTCATTTTTTTGGCTTGATATTATTGTTTACTCAGACAGCGGTGTTTTAAAAAGGAAATGTATCAACCTTTTATCCCATTCAATTAAAATGATTTCCAACACTTAACACACATAACATGACGCAGAGTGAGGGCCAAATTGTTCCAAGAAAACATAATGAATATGTGTTTTCTCTACATTTCTCTCTACTTCATATCACAAAGTGATATTTTGCGCCCTTAGAGTGAATTATAAAGGGGTAAAAAGTCTGAGGAACAAAGTCAACTGGCATTTAGAGAAGATAAACTTTTTTCTATTTCTTTGAAACAGAAGTTATTTCCAAGTTATTTGTTTTGCGGTGTTTGAAGGCATGAGACAAAAGCTCTTCATATCTTTCAAAGCATCAAAAGACCTTTTAAAATGTCTAGCTGCTACTATAGAGAGAATATATTTTGTCATTTTTGCCAAATGTAATTTTTGGGTGAACCTTTCCTTTAAATGATTTTAGCTGTTGTACAGGTCAGAATGTCCATTTTGCACCTCAGAAGTGTACATCAGGCGTCATCTCCTATTTAGAAAAGATATGCACATTTTACAGAATACCTGTCAAAACTGTCATACATAATTCATCACATTTGCCAGATCTGAGCATGTCTTGTAGTGTCAGTCTGTTTGATTTGAAATGATGTGATGTCCGAGCCAAAGGAAGTCAGGTTTGGATAAATGGCATCCTGGAGGTGATTGTGACACCTAGATTTCACCTGACAACTGGAGATGTTTATGTTGATCTGCATCCATCTGTCGTGAAAAGCAGGTAATGGAACGAGAGCTTATGGTGTATGAATGAGAGGCAGTAGGTGTGGAGTGGGTGTGCAGATACATCACACAGGGCGGCTGAAATAACACACTGCGTTACACCATCACTGTACCCTCAAATACCTTTGAAGATCTTATTCATCTCAATAATTAGCGCCCCTGCAATGTGCTCATTTTCCACTCACATCCTCCATATGGTGTGAAACTGATCTATAATCTGAGGTTGTGGCGTTAAAATCATGAATCAGCATGCACATCATGTTTCACTTCTGTAATGTGACGTATTTCAAAATGAAACATGGTATTCAATGACAAATTAAGACTGGCTAAATAGACCGTGGTGACTAGCCAATAGGGATGGGATTGTAAAGAATTTTTAACGGTTCTAATAATGGTTTTATTACAGAACAAATGGAAGAAAAATTCCAAATTTCATTACCAAATCATGGCAACACTTTGATAGTCAACTTTAGACATTTGGCTCGACTTTGCAACTACTGTACATGTCAGCAACCAGCAGTGTTGCCAAGTCTGTGGTTTTACCTTGGAATTGGGCTACTTTTACACTGTTGCCGTGGGTTGTTTTTTAAAGGTGGGGTAAGTGATTTCTTATAGCCAATGTTGACATTTGAAATCACCAAAACAAACACACCCCTACCCCAAAAGGGTCTCACCCCTGTTTTGATAGCTCCGCCCCACACATACATACGCAACCCAGGCAACGATTAGTTCTGTGAAACAAAGCAAAACCAATGTTACACCGTGTCTACACCGGACACGAGTGGCGCGGCGCGACAAAATACTATAGAACTCATTATAATCAGTAATGCTGTCTACACCATAGATATATATACATATCTATGGTCTACACTGGATGCGTCGCGGTTTAATTAAATGTGCTAAACGTTTTGAAATAATATTTTCTTGTAAAACACACTCCACTAATCTTTATTTAGAACTTCAAAAAATAAATTTTTAATAGTGCACAGTAAAAGGTTTACACCTAAAGGATAGTTTGAGTGCTTTTGAAATAAAACAAGCTTCTTTGGAGGCCTAACTGAGACCCAACATTTGCAAACAAATGCAAAAAAATTCTTAAAATCTCCACAGGCATCATCTAATTTACAGGGTACTCAGTCTAATCTATTAAATCAGTCATTCCTAAACATTCACAGCAGTACGATATATGAGGATTTGTTGAGCTGTATCCCTGATGGGAAGATATTGCAAATTTCACATGCATATTTGTAATGTTTTATTCATTTTCTTGTTGATATGTGTACCAACCCCTGCACGCTCCACCACAGGAAGCCGGGTGATTAAAGGTGTTTATCAGCTGGAGTGGACGGTTTGCCAGCCAGCCACAGCGCATCGTAAGATGCATCATTCAGAGCGGAGTTCAAGAGCACTGCTGATCCACCCCGCAGGCAGCGGCGACGGCGAGTGAGGTTGACACAGCATGGCACACCTGTTTCACTGATCTGCTTCAAAATCAACAAATGACTGGCTGCCAAAGCCAGCGCGATTCCCCGATGAAGACTGAAGGCCAGCTCTACCGAGGTACTAATATTTCAAACTAATGAGGTTCTGTACTACTTGTAATTATACTTGATATTCTAAAGCAGCTTCTGTTGCCCAGGGTCTTTCATCGCTAAAAATGCGAATTAATCTATCTATCTATCTATCTATCTATCTATCTATCTATCTATCTATCTATCTATCTATCTATCTATCTATCTATCTATCTATCTATCTATCTATCTATCTATCTAACATCCATATATTCAACATCCATCTGTAAGGACTATAAATCATCCAGCTTTAAAGCTTTTCAAACTTTTCCCCAAACTTTACCAATTTAACATGGCTTCACAGTTTAATCTGGTTACACAAACCAGATGGTTGACCACCTTAAACTGCAATAACCAGTTGTTAGGACCATCATGAAACAACATTAGATCAGCTAGAAACCTACTACTATGCTCCTACTAAACCATCAGCTTGAGATGGATTTTAAAGAAGGGGGATGGCTGACTCACTAGGACAGAAGATCGGAAAAAATAACTCGCATTCTGATATATCATGCTGGTATTGTAACCAGCCATAACTGTGATCCTGAATATGTCATACATGCACAAACACATCTTACTGACACACACTTGACGTGTCTCTGTGGGAGCTCGTGTGTCAATTTGTTGTTCTACAGTACAATCACAGTAGTGCTTGTCAGCACACACTCTCATATTAACTCCAAAAGCTGTTGGAAAGCCGCCCCCTGCCATAAGACAGCTGCTTCCCCTGGAGTGTCTGTGTTTGCCCTCGCTAACACTGCCTGCCGCGAGCCAGGTAGCAGCCAAAGGGGTGCGCAGACCCTGATCACATGGTTATGTCACTTGCTACCTCAAGCTCAGTATCTGTACTTGCTAGTTCCTTCTCTTTTGGCATGATTGCAATGCATGAGACATTTCAGTTCTCTGCCTGCATGGATAGAGTACTTACACCGAAGGGTCAAAAAGCAATGTGACATTGGGTTTTTATGAGGTGAGTGGACGGCCATGCCCAGAATGAACTACTGTACATAGTTCACAGCTCTGCTGTCACTTCCTTCTCACTGTGTGCTCTGTTTCTTAATGTCTGCCACAAAATATATTGCTGATATTTTCTTGTTAGCTGTTATATACAGAGAAATATATGGTAAGATATTTCATTCACTTTTTTATAAATAGTATTTATAAAATACTACTAACAAATGCATAATATAATCTTTAACTACACATTGTCACATGAATGATCAGTCAGTAACTACACTGATTTAAATCACAGTAAGTTGTAAACTGATTGATTCGCTAACAAGAATGATTCATGTTCAAGAATCGGATTACACTGATTGTGCTATAAGTTTTTGATTCACTACAAGAAACTGGTTCAAAAGAGTCATTCACTGAGGAAACAGACAATCCTGTTACTTTATATCCAATATTTAAAGCTAGCTCTTATATGTACAGTAAAAAGAAAATAGCCACAGTTCAACCAATGTCTGTTTTACATGCAGAAGGTCGTGTGAAACCTTTTTTTTTTAAACCATTTTGTCCTTAGGAGAAATGTCTTTACATATGTGAATACATTTGCATTTCATGTATGTAATGACACTTTTATCCAAAGCAACTTACAGTGCATTCAAAGTATACACTTTATATCAGTTCATGCATTCCCTGGGAATCGAACCCATAACCTTATGTGAGACGTTGTCATTCTGATCAATTATTTTTGTATGTTTATATATATATATATATATATATATATATATATATATATATATGTATGTGTGCACTTAATGTAATGATATTCATAAAAATGCAATGACATTGATTGATATACTTTAGGTGCGGCTTAAAGAGGTCATATGATGTGATTTCAAGTTTTCCTTTCTCTTTGGAGTGTTACAAGCTGTTCGTGAATAGATAAGATCCCTAAAGTTGCAAAAACTAAAGTCTCAAAAATATTCTTTATAAAATTTAAGACTGGTCCACGCCCTCCTAAAACGCCTTGTGTATGGTAAGGGGCATAACATTTCCATCACTCGCTTGAGATATTCGGCTAATTACGACGCACTGGATAGCTGACCAATCAGAGCACACCTCACTTTTCAGACCGATGAGCTTTGTAAAAATCGACGCGTTTCAGAAAGGCGGGGCATAGAGGAGCTACAGTATGTGGAAAATAATGTGTTTTTTAAACCTTAAACTGCATAAATACATTTCATTACACCAAATACACAAAATAATGTTCTTTTTAGCAGCATCATATGACCCCTTTAAGTGTCCAATTACTTTAGGGGCCATTGGAGGTCCTCAATAATGGTAAAACTCTCAGCAAAAACATATTTCCAGTGGACAAAAGCCATTTACTCCAACAAAATGCACATCAAATTTCAAAACCGGACCAAAGATGACAGCTTCTGCATCAGTAGCCTTGGATGACTCCATGAGTCCTTTGAAAACCAGAGAACTGCCACTAGCTTGGGATCCAAAGCCCTAGAGATCCTCCAACCCAGTCACAATGAATCTGAATTTCATGTTGATGATTTAGGTGCAAGGTTTTTTTATTTTTTATTCCTAGACACCCCCTTAACACACACTCCAGTCAGGCAGCGCTCCCTGTCTACTTATGATCTTCTCCGCAGCCATATTCTTCACAGAGCGAGAACACAGCCCTCAGCAAGACGCGACTTCTCTCTCCAAAGTCTCTCCATGCTTTGGCGCTTGTTTAAAAATTCTCACAGAGACAAAAGATGGATTAAGTAAAGTTGCTTCAAATCCTCGGCAGGCGATGATGATAAATATGCGCTTTTTTTCTCCCTCAGATTTGATTTGCGATGAACAATGCAGCAGTTTCTATTCCGCCGTTCCTCCCAAGTTAATATTTCTACAACAAATTCTCCATCCACGCACGACGACCCAACTGAAAAACAATACTTCATTTTACAAGTCCCTGTAGCTTTAGCTACAACGTGAATTATTAATCTTCCACAGCTTGTGAATTCTTGTTTCAAAGCTTTGTATTTCCAGAGAGAGAGGGGGGAAATGTAATCAAACACTAAGAAAGAAGAGTCTGAGGGGCGCTTGGAAGGGTGCACAAAGTCTTCAGAGACAAACTGTCGCTGTGAAAGGAGAAAAAAGGACAAGCCTGACCTATGCTAGCATGGCTAAGCTTCACCTCAGGTGGGTTTCTGCAGCATGCGTCTCATGTTGTCATGTTGCCACCACAGTACCGCATCTGTCTCCCTCTCTCTCTCTCTCTCGCTTTCCTGAGGCCTGCTCATGAAGGGAAATGTTATATTTAGCTGACCAGTATTTTGTTTGTTCACTGGATGTAACGGTGCCCTTGGAAGACTGCCAGATTGCTGCAGAGCCCAATCTCTCTCTCTTTCTTTTTCTATTTGTCTCTCATATATATGCATACATTTATAAATATATATTTGATTGACTGCCTCGAACCTTTTAGCGCATGACAGCTGATTTATTGTGACATTGCCACCCAGAGTGAAAATGCCATGTCCAAAAGTACCAAGTTGACTTCACATTGCACTTCCAAAATACTAATAATCTTGTAGAAGCATCAAGAGTTATCAAAGAAAACTGCATGCTCATTTAATCCTGTCAATCATGAAACACTTTGGGTGTATTAATACTGTACATTCATTACCTTTATTAAAAGGACCGTTCACCAAAAAAAATAAAAATAATAATAATCTGCCATAATTTACTCACCCTCAAACTCTTCGGTCTGTGGAACACAAGAGAAGTTTTGAAGAATAATTATGCTGCACTTTTCCATAAAATAGAAGTGGATGGAGACCAAACACAATCAAGCTCCTAAATGACAAATAAGCACCATAAAAGCTTTATGAAAGTGGCCAATATAAATTATAAGTCTCAGTCATTGTTTACTCACCCTCAAACACATCTTTTTTTTTTTATCTGTGGAGCACAAAAGGAGATGTTTTGAAGAATGATCACGCTGCTCTTTTCCATACAATAGAAGTGGATAGGGACCAAAGACTTTCAAGCTCTTAAAAGGACAAAAAGCACCATACAAAGCATCATGAAATTGGCCAATACAACTTGTGTGTTATATTCCAAGTTTTCAGAAGTTTTGTTTACAAAAGACATATCAAAACATACCAAAGCGTTGTTATTCACTGAATATCTTGCCTTGACATTTTTGGTCTCCATTCACTTTCATTGTTTAAAAAGAGTAATGTTTGATGCTCCTTTAGTTTCTTTTGGCACATTTTTCATTGCCAAAGCTAACAAATCAGAATAATTGAGCATGTTGTGCCTGAAATGTCAATTATTTTCATTTTAGTCTGAAATATAAAATTTATTTTTGTACACTGTATTATATAAAATGGCACAGACCTCACTTCTGTGACAATTCATCATGCTAACACCTCAGCAAACCAGTTTACATGTGTCTGACCCAAGGATTATATCAAAATGAGAATTTATGAAATCAATATTTGCCATGTTGTTTTATCTGACACATATTTAGATAGTAATGAGCTCAGCTCAAATCAGATACATTACCTTGGCAAAGCTTCTGCATGCGTGGGTGCCGCGATCCTGGAAGGTTACACCATGTAAATGCACTTTAAGGGTCTTAAACGGCATTTGTTTTATGAAGACAAATATCCCGAGCAGTCATTCAGGCTTAAAAAAACCCTGACCTACTTCTAAACGTGGACATACTCAAAAGGAAATAAGTCTGTTTGTGTGATTGTTGTCTTGATTACAGCGTAAAGTGCAGTCAACCAGCTGCCCTGGTGGTTTCTGACTCAAATTCTCTCTGAATGAGATTACTCTTCCCAGAGAGCTTTTGTGCACTCAAAATTAGTTTTCCATATACTCACATGTCTTTAGCAGAATCTCTTCTCTTCATGTGAGAGATTAATGCGAGCGGACAGGACCGAACAGCTGAATCACATTTTGAAAGGTTGCAACACAGCAGCGGGGTGGCCACCTCTGCTCTGGCCTCGTCTGGTCGCTGGACCACGTTGGCTTTTATCAGCACAATCTGCTCCCGTGTCCCTCGTGATGAGAAAGCACCTGGCCTCCAATTGGGGAAAAGCTGTCCAAACCAACCGAGGTTCACCGGTTTGTGGTCCGGACCTCAACGGCGACACCCACAAATTCAATGTCGCTGCCACTTGAATACAAAACCTCAGCGGCGGAAAGCCTCAAATACAAACATTTGACTGTTAATCATTACGAAGATTATTTCCGAGAAAGCACTCAGATTGAATTTGATCATTTTAATTGGATGTATGGAATGCAGCTCACATTTCCTAAACAAACAGAGGGAGTTGAGCTTTGCCATTTTCCGAGTGCAATGAGACTTATCGTACATCAACAAATGGAAAGTGCAATGAGGAGGAGCTGTAAAATCATTTATGTATTCATAGAGAATTACTCAACCTCTGCTGCAACGTTATCTTACTCTGAGAGTTAGTGTGAAAGCCCCAGATTGAGAAACGTTTTTGGACAAAAATAAAAGCAACATAGAGTTTTTATACAAAAATCAAAAATGTTCATTTGTGTCTACAAATGATAGATTAAAATGACCCTAAAAGCACCAGTACCTGCTGCTAGCATAATAGAGCTTACAATGACGTTTCCTGCACTACACTGTAATTAGATTTGTATTTTTGCTTTCCTCTGCCAACCTTCTTTGCTGGTGTCATAACGATTAACTGGCAAGAGAGCTTCTTCAACACTGACCTTTAGACAATGTTCTCACAAGTTTGAATTTGTCAGCTAACAATGTCCTACAGTGGATATAAAGTGCATGCAGCATAGGAGAAGTCATTTTTTTCTGATTAAAAAAATATATATATTCCACCACATCTCTACATGTACTGTGTTAAAGAGTATTATGTAGTGGAAATTATATTTTAAACAGTTTTGGGATATAATTGTGCCTGGTGTTTAATGAATATGAAATACACAAAATAATATTTAATAATAATAATAACATTAACTAATAATAATTTAATAATAATAATTTAACATTTTAGCATATTTTGACCAAATTACAGCTTGATATGTAATAATACTAATAATAATGTTTACAATGATAATATTTTTATATTTTAACAAGAATATTTGAATTTTATTTATTTGTGTATTTTGTGCTCAATTCGACCAAATTACAGCTTGTTTGCAAATGATAAACAATAAAATTATTCTGTTCAAAAGGGATTTTTACCTTGATTTTTCACATCACGTTTCATCGTGGTGTCTCTTCGTAGCCATAGTAAAGAAACTAAAATAAAATTAAAATTAAAAAAGATGGTAAATTGTTGGTTATTGTGTCAAATGTTTATAACTGAATGGCAATTTGTAATGTGTGTAAAAATTACAATAACTTCCCTACAATAAATAACAAAATGGTTATTTCAATCTTTGCGATCAAAGTTCAAATTAAAAATATAATAATTAGTATTTTTATCCAAATTTATTTTCATATTTTAAGATTGAAGGTCTGGGAAAGGGACCTTCAATAAATGGGAAGCAATAAAACAGCAATAATAATTAAGTTGAATGTGTCCTTCATAAAACAAAATCTGTTGGTTTTAATAAAAATCAAACCCTGAAATTCTAAAAAACATCCATAATTGAACAAACACACATTTATGTGCATCATACATCTGCAAATGGCGGTGTCGCTAAGGTTCCGTGGGCGGAGAATCGCCGCCTCCTCAAGTTGCAGCTTATCTCAGTCAACAGGCTGCGGCGAGTCTGACAAGCACTTTTGTCTCAGCCCACATGCACTCCTTTATCTCTGTCTTTCTTTCCTTCACCCTCCTCTTCTTCAACAGCTGTCCAAACCGAAGCACCCCTCAGCCTCTTCATCACCCACTTACGCCAACTTTGCGCAGCCAATTAGCATGTTGCAATCCCAATCAAAACAACGGTCTGTCAGCCTGTAACAGAACGACACCCGGTTACTCTGCCTCCATAATCCATACGCCTGAGAGTTGAGCTTTGACAGTACAAGTGTTGTAGCTGTGGTGATATCCCTGTGTTTGTCTGGAGAATTTCTGTACATCTTACGATGCTAACATACACCTCGACTCTCAATACAACACAGAGACTATCCTATATAGAGCATTTCGGAATGGTTATCTGTGAATTGGAGCCCTCAGGGCAAATTCATTAAGTGTGCTATTGCTTTGCTCAGCACAATTTTTTGTATTGTGTTCATTTACTCTATTAGGCTTAATATAGTTGTTGCTGATTTGGTGGAAATAGGACTAAAATTAAACTTGACTGCTATTAGCAAAATTAGCAACAAGCAAGGGACATTTTAATAGTGTGCTTAATGTATTGTTCAATGGCTGTTGTTATTATTATTAGCAAGCATCGAGCGGCCAAAGGCTTTCTGTCACCTGCAAATGAAGATGTATGACACCACATTTCTCCCAGTTCAAGTAGCATTGTGGACTCTCTGGAAAGTGTTTTTCCACCACAGCTTCATTCTGTATTCATTTCAGTGTACAAAAAAAGGAAAAACATCTGCATAGGGTGAAGGGCTTGTCATTGGAGGACGAATGAGGAGATTATTTGCATAAGCTGTCTCAGCATTAGCTATAAGATGGATTTTGCATCACTAGCTTTGTGATCCCTGACTGTAAGAGTCCCTCTGAGATACCAGACAAGATGAGACTCTTTTTAGATTTGATATCCAAAACTGACACTCACCAGATGTAAGGAAACTTTTTTATAAGTTGAAAGACTTAAGTGGTTCTTTTAAGAACCTTTCCATTCACGGTTCTTTGTGGAACCCAAATTGGTTCTTTAAAAGGCAAAATAAATAAATAACCAGCCAACCTTTGGAACCTTTATATTTAACAGTGCATAATAAATAAACATTTTATTCAATTCATTTACAATGTGTGACGTGTGGCCAAGTATGGTGACCCATACTCGGAATTAGTGCTCTGCATTTACCCATCCAAAGTGCACACACACAGCAGTGAACACACCGAACACACACACACACCATGAACACACACCCAGAGCAGTAGGCAGCCACTTATGCTGCGGCGCCCGGGGAGCAGTTGGGGGTTCGGTGCCTTGCTCAAGGACACCTCAGTCGTGGTATTGAAGGTGGGAGAGAGCGCTGTACATTCACTCCCCCCACCTACAATCCCTGCCGG